GCTGGAGCTTGGGTATAATTCAGCCTGTAGATGCACCTGCTGTTAAAATCCTGAGGTTTGGAGCTGGGGGTGATTAAAACACAAAGAGAAGAGTTCTGGGAGGTGGTGTGGTGGGTGTTGAGTAACCGGCGTAGGCTGCAGGGTGATGCTCTGCTTTCCTATTAGTTACTGGGAATAAGATGCAGTCTCTATTGTTATTATAATATGCAATAATAACGTATGGTCTCTATTGTATATTAGGATATGCAATAATAGCGTGCGGTCTCTGTTGCATGTTGTAGAGGGCTTGCTGCAGCACGTTGGGTAGATAATAGGAGAAAAATCACCGCACTCTCTAAAAGCTTAGCTCAGCTTCCACCCAGCAGCTTGGCTTTGTGCCCGACAGTTGTCAGGTGTCGGGCACAGCGATGGGAATTCCCACCTCACCTTTCGTTTCCTCTGAAAACTCTTTGCCCAGGTGACTGGATACATTACGACCAGAACAAGAACGAGCAGAAGGGGAGGGCAGGCGGTGAGTGGATCTGAAGAGAAGTCGGGGATACGCTCCGAGTACCTCGCGTGTGAGCGTAGCTCAAGTGATGGTGAAAGAAGTAACATCCCCTTTTTCTCGCTTCTTAGGCGTCAAGAAGCGGAAACCAGCCACCAGTATTTTGGAGGAGGACGAGGTCCATAACAAAAAGCAAAAGACTGGCAATACTACAGGTAAAAAGTGTTTCCTTGTCATTTAAAATAACATGTTGGGGTCTTTTTTTTTTTTTTCTTTTTTTTTATGAGACGGATTGAACCTGAGCTCACTTTTTAAAAGTGAAGCGTAGGAGGAGAAGGTGCAGAATCTGTGTATTTCTATGCTTGGCTACACTGTCGTTCATTGAGGAAGTAAATGGGGAGAAGCAGCGAGGAAATTTGCTTTGTAAGGGTCAGCTAAAATGGTGTTTGTCCTCTGAGACTGGGTGGTAGTGGTTTGGAAAAATATTTCCACTCTTGGCCACGTAATCTGAATAGTAAGATCAGCTTCATTGTATGTGCCCTGGCCACGCACAGAGCTAACAGTGTAATTTACTTGCAAGTTTGATGAGATGAGCAATGTTATATTCGATACTTTTTCCTACACCTTTTCAGGCGGAATCGAAACAAAAATCTTAACTGACGAACAGCTGCTGAGGATTGCGGTTTTGTTCGGTAAAGAGTGGAGGAAGATTGCCATCGGATGCCTTCAGATGAAAATGAAAGACATCGAGCAGATTCAGGCAACGGAGAACGAGGTTAATTTTCAAAAATTGAGGGTGTTAATCAAGTGGAGAGACAGGGAAGAAAGCAACGGGACCGCAGAAGCTCTGTACAGGTGTCTCCGGGAAGAAGCGTCCTACGAGATACTGCAAGCCCTCCGAGGTATCACCCTCCCGTTACGTTTATTTAATGACATCAGTGTGTCTCAGCTGTATTTTAAGAATTCTTATCAGAGAGTTTACCAGATTAGCTGGTACGTGTTTCGCTACGTTAGGTCACAATTGTCTCCCACCTCATCTTAGCAGTGACTTTCTTTCCTGTGGCATTTTCATACTTCCCTTTAGAAACCGATAAAAACCGAGTAATATTTTTGCACTGACTGCGTTGAGAGCGCTCTCAGCATGACCTCGCTGTCATGGCTCAGCGGATCTATGTTATATACCCAAGCCAGTTCTTAGTCTTCTCTGCAAGTCCTGAGAAGAGATGTTTGGGTCTTCACTCTTATGTATTTTAGGAGCAGTTAATTAACACCTTCCCCTGACAGACGACTTAGCGGTTTGGTCCCGCAGACCCGTGTGTGTGTATGTATTTCCTTACAGGCTAAGGGAAACCTTTCTCAAAACTGAAATATATTTTAGGTTTGGGGTTGTTTTTCTTTTTTTTTTTGAAACAGGCAAAGCTTTGCTCTTTCTTAACTCTCCCTCAAAGCAACCCAGCTGCAAAGGGTTGAGAGCTGCTCCCTTGCTCGTTGGACCATCGACGTTGGTTGGGCTTGATGGTCTTAAAGGTCTTTTCTAACTTTCATGATTCTGTGACCCTGACAAACCTCTCTGCTGCATCTCACAGGCTTTTAATACATTGCCCGTTCAGTTTGAATGTTGCAGCCCCTTCCAGAGATGAGGTAACCCGCTGGGTTTGTGCATGTTCCTCTCCTCAGGTTTCCTGCCCCAGCCCTGAGCCGCAGCGAGGAGACGCTTCCCTGGGATCTGTCTGGCCGTCGGGAAGGCAGGCTCAAGCCTCATCACTCGGCCGAGAGCTTAGGCAGGACCTTCGCAAGAAATGTGAATGAAATTTTTGCGCGGATCTGAGCACGTCGAGACTTTTCGGGAGTGGTCGCTGCCCGCGGGCGGCGGTGCTGGGCTTCGCAGACGCGGAACCCCGACTCCCGGCTCTGAGCCAGACCGAAAAGACGTGAGCACTGGAAAAAAAGCCAATTCACCTTCTTCAGGTATATGATCATTATGTGGAAACGCTGTTTTTTACATCAGGGAAAGACAGGGGGAAAAGGTTTGCAGGAACTTTCACCCCCTTCAAAAAAACCAAACGCAACTCGACTGCCAAAATCATGAGGTACATTGGATTTCTCGCAGATGCCCGCGATCAGGGAAGAATAATCCTAAACTTGCAGATAAATTCCTTTGCATAATCACTGTATATATACATAATTACTGTATATACTCGAGTACATTCAGTCCTTGTTAAGCTGTGGTTCTGTTTTCTAAAAACCTAAAGACTGGTTTCACGGGAGCACCACTATTTACTCCAGGCAGCTTGGAATTTTCCCTGGGAATTTCTTCTTCACCCTTTCCTGTATCGTCTGTCTCAGTTGCTATGAGACAGGTTTTTTTTACGTTTTGTAAATTTTTTTTTTGTATTATTGTGAGGGTTAGGGCTGGGCCGGCCACTCAACGCTGACAGGCGCTTCCCCAAAGGGGAAGACGATGTGTGTACTACAGAACCAGAAAAGATTTGGAAATCATGTTATTTGCAGAAGAGAGCAGCGACCTGATACGGGAGATTGTCTTATTTGTAAAGACGCGGGATTGTTTTGCTCGTCTTCCTCTGCGTATGTTTACGAAAGAAAAACAAAGCATACTTTTAAAAAAATCAGGATTAAAAAGGAAACATTTACACTATTACTCGAATTTTATTATTTTTTTTATTTTAGCTATTGCATGAAATGCGGACGTCTCGGGAGGTGGCTGAGGAAAGGGGTGTCCAGGACCTTGGGGGCTCTTCTCCTGAGGGGAATTTAGGGGGAATGCAAGCTGTGGGGCTCTGCAGCCCGGGCAGAGCTGCCCTGGGCTCTTTGGGCCAACCCGGGGGACGTTGCCTCAGGGGGACCTTTAAGATACCCGATAAATGCCAAAGCTCTAGTAGGACCCTCTGGTGAGATGCAGAAATCAGTAAATCTAAGCTGGAAATACGTTGTTTATTTGTAGTGATGAGGGTAGCTGGATAGCGTGGCGGATGGTGAGGTGATAAAGCCACCAGGTTCTTTAAATTAAGAATCTTTTATTTAAAAAGAATAAAAAATATTGTATTGCCGTCTGACGTAAGTAACGAGATGGAAACAGATTTTAAAATTTGATGCTGGTGCAGAGTGTAACTATGGTAGAGCTTTACATGCCAGCAATATTCAGAATATTCAGTATGATGTTATGAAAGAATCATAAAATTATTTAGGTTGGAAATTAAAATTATTTAGGTTGGAAATTAAAATTATTTGGGTTGGAAATTAAAATTATTTGGGTTGGAAATGAAAATTATTTGGGTTGGAAATGAATATGATTTAGGTTGGAAATAAAAGGATTTAGGTTGGAAAAAACTTTAAGATCATTGAGCCTGCCGTGTTGGTTCACGTTGTATCTCGAGGAAGAGAAAGATGTCGCCACGTTCTTTATGCAAACTTTAATTTTATTAGGCAATAAATAGAATAAATAAGGAACATCATAAATAAATTGATTATTGCAGATGGGTTTCCGTTTCTGAAAATCACACTTGAATAAATAAAACGCTGAAGACAAATCACGGCGGAGTGTTTGGCGGCTTGAGAACGTTTTGGTGCTGCGATGTAGCTTATTTTCTAGAAAACTGGAAGTTTACCATGATAGCCTAAAAGGCACAGCTCCCTAAAACACGGTTTGTAAGAAACACTGTGAAATATTCCCTGCTAGATTTCTTTAAAAGCTCCCAACCACCTCACAGGGTATCGACCCCACTATTATTATTTTTTTTTTTTT